TCTGACCACACAATTACTGGTTTTTTAATATTTTTAGATGTCAACCATTGGTCAAAAGCGTTGCAAAGGTACTCGTATAATACCTCGTGGTTAATTTAACCACTTTCAGATTTTCCAATGGCTGCCAGTGTAGGAGGTAAAGATGCATAAACGTTTATTGGAATACGCACATTAGGATATATTATAAGTGGTGGTGGGAATGATCCATCTGCACTAATATTAGCTATAAAGAAATGTGAAAAAATTCGAAGGAATATTATTATGCCAAGTTAGGCACTCTAATGAACAAAAAACAAATGATGAAGAAACATTTTGCAATTTTATGTAAAGTTATGAGGCTTACAAGTAAAAGCGTTACAGAATTTGCAATAATTTGTTAGCGAAGGTTGTAACATTGTATACATTTTGCTTACCTAAAACAGTAATTCTTTCCTTTTCTTTTGAAGAGGTGCTGTAAGGGACATTTTTTGAGCCTTTTTCAGCCAAGACTTTGGGTCTTATTGGAGATAACACGAAGCCTGACTCGTCGATGTTAAAGTTATGGTCAGGCACATATAAAATGTCTAGGCAATCATCATCCAATAAATAGCTGCGAATATCAGAAAACCACTGTTTGATGCACTGTTGTGAAATGTTTTGCTGATTTGCACCTAAAGACTCTCATCTGGGTGACTATGTTGGAATGCCTTGCCATGAAAAGCTTATACCTTCAAAAAAATAGTGATAAAGTTAATATTCTAGCCTTTTTTTACAACTAGGTTATACAAACTATATTTTAGGCCTATATAACTAACAATTTGTATTTTTTAACTTTTTAAGGTAATAACTTATTTAGTTATTGTATCAATTAAGATACTGCCCAGCAAACATTTGGTCTAAAAAAGACGTCTTTTAAATGTATAAAAAATGTCTAATACGCTTAAGAGATGCATTAAATTGTATTATTATTTTCATATACTTGTCACTCTAGGCTGAACTTAAAATACTATATAAACAACTACCAGTATAGTAACTTATAAATTATATAAATATAGTAATTGTTATGTTTACTAACCACCAATCGCCAGGTTTTAGCATGCCAGCTTTGCCAAACTTGTATGGTCTGTCCCTTTTTATTTCTCCGAGTAGCCTCTCGTCCATTAAAAGACTGAAAACAAGGGATATAACAGTGTCTTTGCATACAGGATTTGCTCTTCATTGAGCGCTTATAATATAGTTCACGAGAACGTGTTCCTCAGCCTCAATTAGAAAAGTTGCTGGCCCCATCTTTTTGGTGATAAGAGCCTTTCCACTTAGTTTGTCCCTTAAAGTGGTTCTTGGAATACCATAATGCTTTGCAGCCTCCTGTTTTGTTCTAAGACCTCTAAAAAAGGAATAAAATTGAAACAATAAAATTTAAAAGAATATATATTGTTATATATAAGTGAAATTGTGCATGTAAATAGTTATATAGTTAAATAATTAAATGGTGTCCTCTGAACATCAGTGAGTGCTGCATTTATGTCTTCATCTGTATATGATCTGCAGGTTGCCATTCGTGAAGGTTTATTGACTTTCTTGTTCATGTTTAAGTACTTTATGAGAGCCGATTAAAAATTCTCACCTTTCAAATTCTTTTGATAATTTATAAAAAAATGAAAACACTTAAAAATTAACATTAAAAGTTCTTTAAACACATGGACAGTTACACATTAACCATATAAAAACATTATTACTAATTATTGATTAAAAACCAGTTACCCTAAGACACTTGACGTCATGAAATATTCCTGTATTTACCTTAATAGCTTAAACATCATACAAGCCTATCTTGTTACAAATTCTATTCTAATAGAATAATTATTTATATAGTAAAACCATAAATTACAATCCTCAAAAATTATTATTATAAATTGTATAAACATATTGACAATTACACATTAAACCGTATAAACACATTAACAATAATTATTGATGAAAATAAATTCCTGGTTAAAAAACCTAATAATTGTTTCTATAAGCTGAAAACATGTCATATTTAATAATACAGCTGGAAAAAGTATTTAAATTAAAATATAATTATTCATATATGTTCTGAAAAATACAAAAAGGTTTCTATTCAGTAAAATTATAAATTATCAAAAGTAGCGACTTCTAGAAAGTGAGTTTTGCAAAGACTGTAAAATATTTAACTGCTTATTACATGGTTGTTTTTAAATAAAATTAAACCATACTAATACTGACAAGTGTGCAAGTGTTCATATTTTACAATAAAGAAAAAAAAAATCAATTTTTTTGATTTTTTTTTTTTGGTGGCGATTACTAGCAAGGGGCTAGTAATTGCCACCAAAACCCTTACCTTAATCCACACCCACCCTTTTCAAATTCATCCGCTAATTCTTTGTTTATAAGATACTCAAGCATCTTAATAACAGTCTGAGAAAAAAAAGCCATAAAATTATAAATAAATTTTTTTGGTGATTATCCAAAAGTTTATTAATAATTTGCCATTAAGCATTAAGGATTTTTGGGCAATAAACCCAATTTTTGTCAATTAAAAATAGAACATCAGAGTTTTTTTTAAATGCAATTTTGAAACTTTCCAGCAATTAGTTTTAGCTCTGCATGTTTTTTAGTGACCAAGTGGCGAAGACTAGTGATTATTTTGTTTTTAATGCTAAGCAAACTTTTCTGTTCAAAACGCAACGTTTTTAGAAATATTTTTTGTGAAATTAAATAAAAAACTTTTATTATTATACATATGGTTTTTAGCAAATGCTTTTACAAAATAAAATTAACAACGTTTTTCATAATTAATTTGTATTTATTACACAATTTAATATTATTAATAATCTTATATAAATAAATAAAATTTTATTTAATTTTGTTAAATGTTTGCCGTAAATGTTTTATATAAAGAAGTCTCATTCACAAATCACCATTCATTGTTCGTAGAAATTTGCGCTTTAATTTCAACAGAATGACGCAAGTTAACATGAAAAAATGAGTTTTTAATTGAAGTATAACTTTAACAATTTACCTCAGTTGAAAAAACACAATTTAAGATATTTGAATAGAGATTGTTTTGTTTTTAACAATAAGAAAACCTTTTTGTTTAATTAAACAAGAATCTTTAATAAAAATTTTTTATAAAAAAAATTTAATATAAAATCAAGTAAACCATTATTAGTTTTCTCCCTCCCAATTTTTTAAGATGAGCGCGGTTCTTTACTCTCGTAACTAAATTAGCGAGCATTTTTTATCGCGCTGGCAATTTATAAATATTCCATTAACAAGCATGTTTCACATGACATTTTAAACCCCAGAAATTATTTTTATGACTAAAACACTTTATAAGTTTTTTTATATGACTTTTATTATACATATTACATACAAATAAGACACTAATTTTTTTTTGAATTTTCTTTGTTTAATTTAGTTAACAATTATCTTTTATAAAATAAGAAATATTTAACATTACTGAAATAGTTTAAAAATGTATTTAACTAGACCTATTACAAAAGTTAGCATTAAGGAAAAAAATTCACTTTTCAGGTAGTTTATACAAATTCTGCAAGATTTCATTGAAGCAAAACAGATTATCGACAAGTTAAAGTCAATATTTTCAGCAAGCTCGCATTCAATAGAAATTAATGCTGGTCCAGAAAGACATTGGTTTGTCATTGATCTAAATTAATTTTTTGTAATCTTTAGTTTACTGAGTATAGACAAGTTAGGGAGACCGGGTGCTATCTGTTTCTCAATCAAGAACTGAAGTACATCTTTCAATTGTATGTCAGTTATCAGTGATGGGAATATAGATGCATACACATCATTGAAAGTCTCATACTCTACGACTGCTTTTTCAGTATTTATGTTGTTACAATAAATTTGATAAGAAAATATAAATTAATTTTTTAAATGAATTTATATTTTCTTCAGATAATTTTGACGGATCAAGGCAATCAAAATGTGTAACTGTGTTACTAAAGTTGTGAAATCGATGGCATTTGGTGAAATTGCTTTTATTTAAGTTTGATGACCACTTTTAATCCCAAAAATTACATAAGCACCAACAAAAGCTTGTCCTCTGCAGAATTTAATATCAATGTTTCTCTTTTCAGAGTTTAATAATTTTGAAAAAAAATATTTTTAGGGGTAGCTCAAGACCATTAAATATCAGACGGGTCCCTATAATTATCAAAATAATAGTTCTCCGTAAGTATATTAAAAAGAAGTCTCAAAAGAAGCAAAATAAAAACTTTAAAAATAATAATCATTTTATAAAAACCATAAAGAAAAAAAAATTAAATTTTCTTTGTAAAAATGCATGATTTTAGTTTTTAGTTGTAAAATGTCATTTTCTAGCCAGTGAAATCTAAAATAATAATTTTTTAATTAAAATAATGATTATTTTTGAAATTTTTATATAATTTTGTTTTTTTTTGAGACCCAACACAATAAACTTTTGAAAAACTATTCTTTTAATAATTATATGGATCCGTATGATGTTGAGCGGTCTTGAGCTACCCCTATAATTATTATTTTTTGAAAATTCTTTCATTCTAGCATGATTTTATTATATAGAACACATTCTGAGTGGTTGAACAGACATTTTGAAAATAAGTTGTTTTAGAGACCACCCTAATATATATATATATATATATATATATATATATATATATATATATATTTATATATATATATATATATATATATATATATATATATATATATATATATATATATATATATATATATATATATAGTATATATATATATATATATATATATATATATATATATATATATATATATATATATATATACATATATATATATATATATATATATATATAATGAGGTGAAAAATATATATAAATATATATATATATATATATATATATATATATATATATATATATATATATATATATATATATATATATTATATATATATATATACATATGTAATATATACTATACATAAATACTTTTGTTACATACACTTTTTTTATTAGGAGATTATTATTATATGCTTGAAGATGACTTTATAAAAGTGGAGATGTATGTTGACAATGTTTATCACGTTGAGTTTCATGCACATATAAGTATTAAAACCCAAACTCTATTAAAGAATGCAGCATTTAGTAAAAGTAAAGGTAATGTTTACTTTTAGTTATTACTTTTTATTTTATTTATTACCAAGCTAGTTTTGATTGGCCTATAAAAGATCTTTAGCATGATTTAATTCAAAGCAACATGTATACATTAAAATAGTCTGTAGTTAATAAGAAATATACACAACCAACAAATTAAAATCATAAAAGTGTAAAAAAAGATAATGAAATAGAGTGTAAATATAGATGAATCAATCATAACTGTTAATTTTTTTTAATGTGACAAGTTTTTTTTTTAATGTGACATTAGTCAGTTTTTTTTAATGTGACATGAGTTTTTTTTTTCAGTTTTTTTTATTAATTAAACTTCATTAGAAAACTAACTTGCATTAGAAAAAAAAAGTTTTACAGTATTATCAAACTTCAATATAAAAAATACTTTTTGATGCAAAAGATTAATCTAAAATACTGATTTTAAATGTTACATTGTACTAAATCGTTAATTGTTATGGTTATTTTTATTTATTTTTTTACTATGGGCTCTCATTAAATTTAAAATTCTGGAAATTTTTTTTTGGAAATTAGCAAGTTATTTTTGATATTTTCAATGTGATATACAACATCAAAACAAAAGTAAATCTTATTGGGGATGTAAATAGATAAATAGAAATAAAGCATTAAATTGTTGATGCACAAAAAACATATATTGTTTTTTGTTGTCTGAAACATATTGACAGCATATGGAACATTTTATTTCAGACCAGCTATCATAAAACAAACTGCTACCCTATATAGTTTTCGAGTCTTATCTCTACTGGTCACTTCAAACAAATGTCTTCAGTTATCTGAAGACATTTGTTTATAATAAATTTTAATAGATAAATTAAACATAATTAGATATAATTTTAAAGTTTTTGCACAAATAAAGCAATATTTCCGTTAGTTATTTTTTTAAGTAATGATATTGATGATAAAGGTAATTCTTCACCCAAAAGTTGGTATGACTAATAAAAGTATATTGTAACATAAGTGAATACTTTTTTTTTTTTTTTTGTTATTCACCTCCTCAAGGCTGAGAAGGCCGCTACAGACGAGGAGGCTACTTAATAGTGGTTATAACCCTCTCTCAACTCTATAACTCCGAAACACGAACCTTGACAAACAAGGCCCCTGCGCAGAGAAACAAGTTGAGCGCGGTACTACCAGGAACATGGTGGGGATCGAACTTGCAACCTCTCGCTTATGAAGCGAGTAATACTGTTGCTGATAAACTAGATTTTCTTATATAGAAAAGTAAACATGGGTGTTAAATATTTTAATGTGCAGTTTGTTGTCTATGCTAATATACTCTGTAACTTTTGGAATAGACAAAGTATTTAGGCTCAATTTGTTAAAAATTATTATACTTCCAAAATGAAAATTTTTCAGGAATTAGATTTTAAGTAATAATGTCAAAGTTATTATTAAAATCAAGGGGTGTGGAGTCCTAAAAGTACTTTGGCTTTAAATCTCTATTTTTTCCTGGTCTCTGGTGTCTAGGAACTCTAAAAATATTGGCTTATGATCTGCAATAAGAGAAAAAATTCATGTGATTTACAGACTTGTAACCTATTGTTTATTAGACTGAAGTGCTTCTTTTTTTTTTAATGTTAACTCAACAAGGCTGCTGCATGGAGAAACAAGTTGAACGCAATACTACCAGGAATGTGGTAGGGATCGAACTCGGAACTACTCACTTATGAAGCGAGCGTTTACACCACTACACCACTAACGCATTAACTTGTCGTTAATTCTTAGCCTGAAGTCCTTGCTGTCATTATACATAAGGATTCTGGATTAAAAAACAAGTTGTTCCTCTAACCCAGAGGTTCCCAAACGAAGTTCATAATCTTCTTTACATTTTTGAAAATCCTGGATACCAAAAACTAGGAAGAAATAATTTTTTGTGATTTTCAGATCCAGAGTCTTTTTTGAGACCCTGTTCAAAGCAGAAAGATAATAAAAAATATCAATGTTGTAAGATCCAATTAGAATTATGTAGTGAACTGGAGGTGAAACTCCATCCTCAGGGCCACAATGCATTCACCAATGATATTTGGTAGAACCTGATAAAGAGTGACAAGCAGAACCTGTCAGAAATGCGTTTTTGTTACCTCTATCATTGCCTGTAACCAATTTTAGACACCACTATTCAATGCTTATTGTAGAGGAATCAAGGTAGAGGTTTGTTGTCGACTGGCAGTATCAGTTATTAGTTCTGAGTTTTTATCAAAGAATGATTTGCTTTTGGTATTGTGAGATATTTTGTTTTCCAATCTCCACAGGAGAGTGGAAAAGCCAAGTATATTGCTGTTTTATATTATTTTATTTAGATTTTTTTGAAATATTAAAGGACTTTAAAATATATAAAGCTTTTTGTGCTAGTAGAATAGTTTTAATTATAGATACAAAATCAGGAACAGTTGTGATCCTAGTCATAGTTTTAGGACAACTAGTTTCCAGTTTTTAGGCAACACATTGCTGAGGTTCACATAAAATTGAAACTATTTTGTGCAAACAACTAAGTGCAAACTGTAAGATCTTATAACCTTTTAACAAAAATATTATTTGTTGATATCAGTTGCAAGATCAAGGGTACATAGAGGTGGTATTTGGGTAACTCATTAATTTAATTGTTTATTGTGAGCAAAAAAAAGATTACTATTTATTTCTCTAATTAATCTTTTTATTGGTAATTATTATAATTTTAAAACTATTTGAGAGCTTGGAAAAGTATCAATTGTATCATTATGACTTTAGAAAAAGAATTTAAGGTTTTTCCCAATAATTTAAACGTTTGATAAAACTCTAATTTTTTTTATTTTGCAAGCAACTTTACATTTGCTTGCAAAGAATATTTTAGGACATTTTTTATGAATTATGATAATTATGATAATTATGATAATGAAGTTAAATTAAAAAATTAAATCTTTATAACTTCCATACCATATAAAATACAGTTTTATCTACCATATAAAATACAGTTTTATCTACCATATAAAATACAGTTTTATCTACCATATAAAATACAGTTTTATCTACCATATAAAATACAGTTTTATCTACCATATAAAATACAGTTTTATCTACCATATAAAATACAGTTTTATCTACCATATAAAATACAGTTTTATCTACCATATAAAATACAGTTTTATCTACCATATAAAATACAGTTTTATCTACCATATAAAATACAGTTTTATCTACCATATAAAATACAGTTTTATCTACCACATAAAATACAGTTTTATCTACCATATAAAATACAGTTTTATCTACCATATAAAATACAGTTTTATCTACCATATAAAATACAGTTTTATCTACCATATAAAATACAGTTTTATCTACCATATAAAATACAGTTTTATCTACCATATAAAACACTCATATATTACATATTGTAATATATATTTTTAATTAAATTATATCGAAAATATAATTTATAATTTAAAAAAAAGGCCTTTTAGACAAAAGGCTGGGACCACCTTGTCAAAATCTTTCCCTCCTCCTTCCCTCCTTCGTTGAATTTATTAATTTGTTATGATTTTTAAAAAATTTACACTTTGTTAAAATCTTTTGAAAATGGCAATTTAGTTGTTATTTTCAATTTTTATTTTGTACATGTAACATATGGTGTTTGACATTTGTATTTTATTGTATAGAAATGGGTTTTGACATTCATTTCATTATGATTGATTTCCAATCACATGCTAATGTTCAGAGACAGCTTTCTAATTCTGTGCAAAAACTTTTGGCTGATCAAAACACAGTAATATTGAATGGTCATACAATGGTATCTGATAATGTCGAATCTCAAATGGCTGCTTTGTTTACTGGTTTAATTTTATTTTACTTTTAGATATTTACTTTTTTTTTTAAACATAAATATTAACTGAAGTTCATGTTTATTTTAAACATAGATATAAACTGAAAATTAATTTTTATGGTAAACATGGATATTTAAAATGGGTAAAAACAATGGGTATAATTGTTATTATCTATAAGATATTAATCAAAACTAGAATTAAAGAAGATTTTAAAGAAGAATTCATATTCGTATACTTTGTGTAAAAATAAAAATTTATATATATACATATATATATATATATATATATATATATATATTTATGTATATATATATATATATATATATATATATATATATATATATATATATATATATATATATATATATATATATATATATATATATATATATATATATATATATAACCCTTGGAATTAGGAAAAATGAGGTCAGCAATAATTTGCCGACCTCAATCTTTTTGAGGTTGGCATCAGGTCGGCAAAAATTATTTGATACAAAGGTCTGACCATATTACATAGAAACAAGGTCGGCAATTTTTTGCCAACTTCAAGCATTTTCAGGTTGGCAGTTAGGTCGGCATTGCCGACTCTAATTCCGAGGGTTATATATATATATATATATATATATTTTCCAAAAGTGCTATTGCCTCTCTGCCCCCTCCCCCTAAATCTTAACCATGTCCTTAACTTTTGCATGTAGAAAAGTTGTGTTCTTGTTCTGGCAATGTTACAGGAAGTGTGCATCTAGTGTAGGAGTTTAAAGAGATTTAAATATTGGTTTTTCATTGTGTTAGGAATTGCAGTATTTGTAGAATTCACATGTCTTCATTTATGCTGTAAACAAACCTATTTTGCAAATATTTTTTTTTTACAGATGCACTTTTAACTGCGTTTTTAGGAAATTTAAGTTTTATTTTCTGCTGTAAGTTATCCTTAAATTTTTTTTGTATATTTTATGTTGTGATAATTTCCGTCTGAATCCATTAATATAGTATGTTTTTCTTCTTTAAAATCTTTTTTTTTCTTTTGTACAAATCTTGCATTACATGCTTTCTTTTATATTACTGGTCTTATTTTTCAAATTATCGTTTTTTTTTCTTCAATTAACGTTTTATTGATCACTTTTTGAATGCTGTATATATAAAATAAATTAAAGCATGAAGTTAATAAGAAACTTTAAGAATATCAACTATATTAAAATTAAAGAAAGCCTTTGAGGAAATAAAAATTGATTGTCATAAATATATTTAACATAATTAAATTAAATAAAATTGCATGCTGTAGTATATTTAAACTATCGTTTGTTTATTAATGTTAGTTTTAAAAGAAATGGTGTGTGGTGCGATGTTTATTAATGTTAGTTTTAAAAGAAATGGTGCGAATGTTAGTTTTAAAAGAAATGGTGTGTGGTGCGATGTTTGTTAATGTTATTTTTAAAAGAAATGGTTTGTGGTGCGATGTTTATTAATGTTAGTTTTAAAAGAAACGGTGTGTGGTGCGATGTTTATTAATGTTAGTTTTAAAAGAAATGGTGCGAATTAAGTAATCTGAAAATTTGTCTTTGTTGTCTGAGAGTTTAAGGGAAGCCATCCAAGTCATCCATGTGCATCCAGCCATCCACATCCATCCAGCCAGCTATCTTTCGACACTTTTTAGAAATTTTTGAATTGACATGTGGAGTAGTTAAAGTTATAACTCGCATACAGACTTTCATCCTCTCTGTCAGACTTTCATCCTCTCTGTCAGACTTTCATCCTCTCTGTCAGACTTTCATCCTCTCTGTCAGACTTTCATCCTCTCTGTCAGACTTTCATCCTCTCTGTCAGACTTTCATCCTCTCTGTCAGACTTTCATCCTCTCTGTCAGACTTTCATCCTCTCTGTCAGACTTTCATCCTCTCTGTCAGACTTTCATCCTCTCTGTCAGACTTTCATCCTCTCTGTCAGACTTTCATCCTCTCTGTCAGACTTTCATCCTCTCTGTCAGACTTTCATCCTCTCTGTCAGACTTTCATCCTCTCTGTCAGACTTTCATCCTCTCTGTCAGACTTTCATCCTCTCTGTCAGACTTTCATCCTCTCTGTCAGACTTTCATCCTCTCTGTCAGACTTTCATCCTCTCTGTCAGACTTTCATCCTCTCTGTCAGACTTTCATCCTCTCTGTCAGACTTTCATCCTCTCTGTCAGACTTTCATCCTCTCTGTCAGACTTTCATCCTCTCTGTCAGACTTTCATCCTCTCTGTCAGACTTTCATCCTCTCTGTCAGACTTTCATCCTCTCTGTCAGACTTTCATCCTCTCTGTCAGACTTTCATCCTCTCTGTCAGACTTTCATCCTCTCTGTCAGACTTTCATCCTCTCTGTCAGACTTTCATCCTCTCTGTCAGACTTTCATCCTCTCTGTCAGACTTTCATCCTCTCTGTCAGACTTTCATCCTCTCTGTCAGACTTTCATCCTCTCTGTCAGACTTTCATCCTCTCTGTCAGACTTTCATCCTCTCTGTCAGACTTTCATCCTCTCTGTCAGACTTTCATCCTCTCTGTCAGACTTTCATCCTCTCTGTCAGACTTTCATCCTCTCTGTCAGACTTTCATCCTCTCTGTCAGACTTTCATCCTCTCTGTCAGACTTTCATCCTCTCTGTCAGACTTTCATCCTCTCTGTCAGACTTTCATCCTCTCTGATGGTTGCTAAAAGGGCCTTGTTATCAAAGTTTAATAGTCATCCACTATTAAACTTTGATAACAAATTTATGTAATGTAATGTTAGGCGAAAAAGTTATTTTTTAATCAGAATTGCAATCATTAATAAATTTAGTTGCATAAACATTATTTTTCATCAGCATTAACAACAGAGAGGCGCTTTTATTGATAAATGGAATAAAAATCAAAACAACCAGATTTTCGAAATACCTATTGAAGGAAAAGATTTTGCTTTTCAACCTAAATTTTAAGAAGGCTAATTAGGAGTAAATCAATATTTTACTTAACTCTAATAAAACATTATATTTATATGCAGTAGTGGTGTAGTGGTACAGCGCTCGCTTCATAAACGAGTGGTTCTGAGTTCCCTGGTAGTACCGCGCTCAAATCATTTCTCCGCGCAGCGGCCTTGTTCGTCAAGGTTCGTGTTTCGGAGTTATAGAGTTGAGAGAGGGTTATAACCACAAATAAGTAGCCTCCTCGTCTGTAGTGGCCTTCTCGGCCTTGAGGAGGTGAATTAAAAAAAAAAAAAAAAAATTTAAATCTTCAAACACATTGTAAAGATTGAAATTTTTTTGGCAGCTTATATGTTTAAAAAAAAAAAAATGGATATTAATACTATTTGAAAATTTAACAAAAGAAGTTATATTTATTTCTTTATTTACTGATTGATGAACTTTTGTTCAGTTACATATATGGATTGATATTACAAAGGGTGGTCTATAAGTTACGTCACGCTTTAGGGGGAGGGGAGAGGGGTTTGTGTTTTGTGGCGACTCATACTGGACTTGATACTAAAGAGTTACACAGTTGTGACATAGGGGCGGGGGGAGGGGTGTCAAAAACTGTCAAAAATTGCGTGACATAATTTATGGACAACCCCCAAGCTAGCAAGAAATATTAAATTAAAAAAAAGTTAACCAAATAAAGGTGAATCATGGCATCAAAAAAATGTTCAGCAGTAAAATGAACTTTATCAAAACAAGATTTTAAGTTTTGAGAAGCAATTTTTATAAAAGTTTATCAATATTATTTAAAGAAAACATGACACATCTCTATTATTAAATTATCCAGAAGATATCCAGAGAAAATCACACTTGATTTTATTGTTTATATTAAAAAATACATATTGAAACCTTTGATAAAATTTGGAAATATAAAATACATTTTATTTTAATTTTTTTTTATTTGTATTTTTCAAGGTTTTTATTTTTATTCTTCCTAAGTATTTGATTTAAAATAATTTTATATGATAACATAATAAAAATAAAATTTATCAAAAATATTTTTTGTATTTAACATTATATAGATTGGTTTTTTTATTTCAAACGCAATAAAGGCATTTAAAAAAAAAAGTTTCAATTTTTTTTTAAATTATTTTTGGGTAAAAACAGGTGGTTTTAGGTCAAAAATATGCAAAGATTTTGGCAAAGATATTTCAAAAAGTAAATTTTGTTTTAATTTTTTGCAGTTTTATTATTTATATGTAAGATTTTTGTCCTGAGATAAAAAAAAAATTCAAAATTTTTTTTAATCATAAGATTTTTTAACACGTATGAAGGTCAAATTTCTGACATAATGGACCGAAAATTCAGTTTTTCAAAAATTTATATTCCTAATTTTTTGACACTAAGCTTATTAAAATGAACATTTGTACAAAATTTCAAGTCAATTGGACAAACACAACTCCTGCAATCTTTGACAGAAGATGCAAAATTATAAAACAGAGAAAAATGCAAATAAAACTTTAAATATTGAATACATAAAAGTTATTGACATATAAAAGCAGGTTAAAATCTCCCTTTTTTATATAAAGTTCCCTCTTCATCGTTATATTTATCATCAACACCTTTCCTCATAGCTCTAAGCTTTTTTCTTTGATTTTAAAATTTTTCAGATGACTTTTTGTCCATTAACTTTACATGCAGACAATCAGTCTTTTGAAAACCATAGTTTGTAAAATGTCCTGGATCGATTCCTTAACTGTGCAGAACATCTTTCAAGCCAGTTTCTCCATCATTAAACTGTATGACAGCAGATGCAACATTAATTTCAAGTGTTGACCACTTTGGTCAACACTTGAAATTAGTGTTGATTCATTTGTGTTCTTTTATTTTGCAAATGAATCAACACTGAAGTTAGTGTTGATTCATTTGCGAATTTAGTGATTCATTTGTGTTCTGCGTTTCACCATCAAGACATCTTTCTAATAACATGTCTGCACCAAGATCTTTGTATGAAAAAATAGGTTTGATTATATCACAGACAGCTTCAGGAATGTTTATGCTGTTTTTATAAGTAAAAGTT